TGGGTATGGGTGTATGTGTATGTGTGTGTTAACCCTCTTTTGCTTGATTCATGTTGTACCTACTTCTCCCATTTCTTCCTCCATGTTTGTTTGCTGTTAATCTTTCTTTATAATTGCTGGAATAAAAATTATAGAGTTGGGATTCCATTTGACCTACCATGTTGTCATCTTAGCTGAAAAACAGAGAAATGAAAGGGACATTCAGTAATGAGCCCCTCACTAGGCTACAAAAGTTCCAAAAGGCTATTACTACTGCTCAAGCAGTTCTTGAATTTGGGAACCTCCATGTAATTCAAATGGAAAGAGGTATTTGATGTGTCCCAAAAGTCTTAGTGCAATTTTAAGTTTTAATTACTTCAGAAATATAAATGCTGCAAATTTACCAAGACCATCATTTCATCATTTCAGAGCTTAATTATTTTAAATTATTTAAACTCATTTAGTTTTGTGAATTTTCAATTTAAAAATTGTGTATGCTTCAAAACTTTGTTCTTTAGTGATCTTAAGGCTAGTATTACAAATGTGGTCTAGTCATTTAGCAGCAGATGAAAGGTTTTTGTTGTTGTTCAGTCATTTCAGTCATGTTGGACTCTTTGTGAACCCATGTAGGGTTTTCTTGGTGAAGATACTGGAGTGGTATGCCATTTCCTTCTCCAGCTCATTTTACAGATGAGCAATTGAGGCAAACAGGGTTAAATAACTTGCCCAGGATCATATAACTAGTACATGTCTGAGACCAGATTTGAACTCAGGAAGAGTAGTCTTCTTGACTTCAGGCCCAGTACTCAATCTACTGCACCACCTAGCTGCCCCTTGAAAAGTTTTACAAAGTTTGAAAATCTACTGGAACAATATATAGCACAAAACTGTGATTATGTTGAATTTTAATAAGAAATATGTTAATATTTTAAATATTTAAATAATTAACCTTTCAATTTTTAAAAAGTGTGTAGCGTTTATACTCCTGAAGTCATTAAGTCCTAAAATTGAATCAAGATATCCTGTATTAGAAATTCCATTTACCTGTTTCCTTTTTTACTTGTACTAATGGCTTGTTCTTCCCTCCATCCACTTGGTTGTTACTATCTTTTGTTTCCTTAGATTACCTTGTATTTACTTATTTGTGTATGTTATTTATTCCTCCCCTCCCTATTTCAGCAAAATATAAGATTCTGAGGCAACTGGGTGTGGCAGTAGATTGCACACAAGATCTGGAGTCAGGAAGATCTGAGTTCAAGGTCTCAGACACTTGCTAGTTGTGTGACCTTGGGCACATCACTAACTTTTCTCTGTCTCAATTTCCTCAATTGTACGTATTTCTCAGGGTTGTTGCAAAGATTAAATGGGATAATATTTGTAAAGTGCTTAGCACAGTGCCTGATACATAGTAGAGACAATAAATACTTATTTCCTTCTTTCCTTCCTTCCTTCCTTCCTTCCTTCCTTCCTTCCTTCCTTCCTTCCTTCCTTCCTTCCTTCTTCCCTCTCTTCCTTCTTCCCTCCCACCTTCCCTTCCTTCCTTCCTATACATACCATTGAGAAATATGATCCGTAGCTTTTAAAAATATAATTCTTTTGATCCTGACCATCACAGATCTATTATAAATGTCTCTGTATGTATCTTCTCTAGTGTGGCATCATTAGCAGAGTGCTAGATTTGAGTTAGCAAGTCCAGGTTTAAATCCCATTTCTGACATTGCCTAACTTTATGACCATGGACAAATCACATAACTCCCATGTTTAATTTCCTTCTTCTGTAAAATGGAAATAATAACACTTCCGTTCTAGGGTTGTTGTGAAGCTCAAATAAGATAATATACATGAAGTGCTTTGGAAATTTTACATTTCTTTCCCATTCACCATTCCCCTGTCCCCCACTGCTAGCTCCTTCCCAGTAAGACTATTTTCCATCTATTTTTGTCTGTATCTTATATGTACATAGTTGTTTGCATCTTGTTTCGTCCATTCAGTAAGGGACATATTTTTCTCTTTCTTTGTATCAGTGCTTGTTGACTGACTGACTAAATGTCAATGTATTATTAATGTGCAAAAGTTTACTTTTTTTTTTCAGCTGGACAGCTTATAAAAAATAAATTTCAATCTTTGATATGTAGTCTAGCCCCAGTCTACTTCAGATCCTACTCTTTACTCTTCTGTATAAAACAAACTGGTCTACAATGTCCCTCTGATATGTAGTGTAACTCTTCCTTTGCTCTTCCTGCTCTTCCTGCTTAGACTGCCCTTCCCATCTTTCCACTTCTCCAAATGGTATCCTTTTTTTGAGATCCAGTTTCAGTCCCACCTTCTCCATAAAGTCTTTCTTTTCTGCCCCAGCCTTCAGGGATCACTTCCTTCTCTGAACATTTTCTTGTCTGTATCACTCATGCAAAATAAGCTATCTTTTATTATATGTTATCTTGAGACATACACTCCCAAATCTCCCCAACTAGATCATAAGACCCTTGAGAATAGGGACTGAGTCACATGGCTTTTTGTGTTCCCATTACCTGGTACCTCTTATAGGTGCTTGATAAATGTTGGTTAACGATGCTAGCTCAGACTCTGCTTCTCTTCTAGGAAGCCGTGCAAGTATTGATTAAGCACTCAGCTGATGTCAATGCTCGGGACAAGAACTGGCAGACTCCTCTCCATGTAGCTGCCGCAAATAAAGCTGTTAAGTGTGCAGAAGTCATCATCCCACTGCTAAGCAGCGTCAACGTTTCTGACAGAGGCGGGCGGACAGCCTTACACCATGCGGCTCTGAATGGCCATGTGGAGGTGGGTGGGCAGCAAGTCACAAGGAGTGCAAATGTTCACCCCGTACTCTCTCTTTGCCTATTGTGGAGATACGTATCGTGATTGAGAATGACATAATAGAATAATTTTAGACAAAGAAATGTCCTAGGTTACCATTTTTATTTTTACATTTAGATAATGGTGAATTGAAATAGTATGATCTCACAATACTTTCTCTCGAAATGAGAGAAAGTAGGCTGGCAGTGTATGTGGCCAGGCTCTTTTCATTGCCTACCAGATTTTTAATGTGCATTCCAGAACTCTTGACCGTATAATCTTTCTGCCTTCTTTGGATCCAAGGCCCTTATCTCCATTTGGATGTTGATACTACAGGTCCTTTATAGCAGAAATACTTATTTTTTTGTGTTGTGAATCCCTTTAGTAGTCTGATGAGCTCTATGGACCTCTTCTCAGAATAACATTTTTAAATGAATAAAATAAATTGCACAAGATTACAAAAGAAATTAATTTCATTGAAATACAGTTACAAAAATATTTTTAAAACTAAGTTCATGGACCCCAGGCTAAGGAGCCCTGCACAATAGGAAGACAGTCTGTCACAGAGTACATGTTTGATTTTATTCTTGCTTGGCTTTTTCAGATGGTCAATTTGCTCTTGGCTAAAGGAGCAAACATCAATGCATTTGACAAGAAGGACAGGAGAGCTCTTCACTGGGCAGCATATATGGGTAAGGACTGTTAGGATTAAAGGGAAGTGCTCACAAAATTGAACTGGATATATTCACCTGCAGAGAAGCTTTTTCAGACCCTCCCTGAGTATTTACCTATTCTAGCTCTGGTTTCCAGGCCAGTACAGCTTCTGTCCAAAGATCTGAGACTACTATGAATGCTACATTTTGGGCAGGGGCAGGGGTACTCTGGTGATTGGCTTCCCCTAAAGAGAAAGGATGAGTCTAAGGAACATGCTATTTCAAAATTGCATGGCCTAGTTGGAAGTTTGCATAAAATGTATGTGCTATACCAGGAAATAGAAGTGAAATAGTATTTAAAAAAAGAGAGAAAGGAAAGAAGGATAAAAAAAAAGTAGGGAAGAAGGAAGGAAAGAAAGACAGACAGAAACAAAGAAAGAAAGAAAGAAAGAAAAAGACATTGACTGGCCTGCAAAAACAAGGGCTCAAACTCTAGTTTGACAATATTTTGACTACTCTTACTTATTGTGGCTTTTTACTTGAGAGACAATATATTGTAATAGAAGGATCCCTGGACTTGAAGTTAGGTGAGACTTGGTCTGCCATTAAGACTACTGAGACTCAATTCCCTGAGCTATAAAATGGAGATAAATAACTATCACAGCTTTATTCTAAGGACAGCACTTTCTAAACCTTAAAGTGCTTTTAAAATATGAACTAGTATTATGTGTTATTGACTACATAGGTTAAAGAACTAATTTGAATTGAATGACTATGTAACTTGGAAGAAGAGTTGTATTATCATGTCCTCTATTCAAGGTGAAATTTTTGTATGCAGTTCCTAACTCTGTCTTCTCGGAGGAAGAAATCCCACTCCTTGGTATTGAGGGGAAGGGATGGTTTTCTCTCCCCCCCCTTTTGTGTCATTGGCAAAAATGACTAGATGGAAAATTTCTTCAGGGCAAGCCTAAAGGAGATAAGAGGTAGACTTCTATACAAATCCAATTCACAAGCTAGTCAATACATCACCCTTGTGATGTTATTGGTCCTCTTTGAGAATGAAGGATAAACAACAACAAACAGCATTAGATTTGGGTGTCTGGGTTTGACCAAGTACCTCCAGTTAAAATTTTAGAGTGAATCATCTTTGTAATCATGATTGCTAGTCACTTATTTTCACTCTCAAAGCAGCAGTATTTCTTTCCACTAGTAACAAGACTTCTAGTATTTACCAAAGTGATATCTATTCCTGTCTAGTGCTTAGAAAACAGATAGAAAGATGAATAGTTTTCAAGAGTATTTAGTCAGATCAAAATGAGACTTACCTAGAAATCTGGCTTTACTTAATCCAATTTGGTTGCTAGATAAGTAATGTGGGAATAATAACTTTAAAGCACAGCGTCACCATTCTTGAACTTGAAAAATTCCAAAAAATTTACCTTTGAAAATCCTAAGGAAAAATAAAGATAAGAAATTTCTGAGAAAAAATTTCAGGTAACTAGACTTCTTTTTTTTTTTGTATTCTGTTATTAGTAGAAAGAGACAAATTATAAGAAAATAAACCAAAAATCACAGATAATTTTAAATAATTATCATTTAAAGCCAATGTCTAGATTGTATCCTGGCATCGGCTTTTGCTCAGCCTAATTTCCCAAATCATCTATATCTACTTGATAAGGAGTGATATTAATGTCATACAAGAAGGATGCATGATTTTATGAGTGTAGGGAACTCCTGGTGTGACAAGACAGGTCCCATTACCAGATTGTGACCCACCTGTGATATAGTGGATAAGTCCTAGAAAACTGACTGAGGCACCTAGAGGTTAAGTAACTTATCATTCCTAGGCTACATGGCCAATAAGTGTCAGAGGATGCGTATGAATCCAGTTCTTTCTTCTTGATTCCGAACTTTGAATCCTATTCATAAGACCACCTATATTTTTATATTTAAGGTATTGTATAACGATCATTGATGCTCAGTATGATGACCTTGAGGCACTGAAAGGTCTTTGGCCATCAAAAAATGCATTTAACACAGTGCACATAGTAGGAGCTTAAGAAATGTTTATTGATTGAGTGATTGATTGAAAATTAAATTCACTTTACTGTCCATTAAGGCATGAGAATGGACACATTTAATATTTAAATTTTTAGTATTAGTATTTTAAAAATTAGTATTTAGTATTTAAAATTAGTATTTAAATTAGTATTTTAAAAAAACTATTTTGTTTCTGCACAGCAGGTAGGGATAAGGATAGGGGCTAGATCTGTGATTTCATTGATGTGAGGAACTCCATTTACCTATTCATGTCAAGACTTTCTCTACAACTCACAGAGTTACAGTGAGCACTGAGATGGTAAGTGACTTTCTGCTATGAAACAGAAAGAAATTCAAAAGGAAACAGAGAAGCAGGGCAACTTTGAAAGTAACACGTTGCATTTTTTTAATATACTTTAAAAAAACTCAAGCTGTATGAACTTAAGTTCATAAAGATTTGCATTTTCACATAATCCTTTTTTCCTGTTCTATTTTGTACGTGGAGTTATTTGGGGTTTGGTTTTGATGTTTGTAACATTCAAGATTCTAAATTCAGAAAACTAAATAATCATAATCATAATGCTTTCTGCCACTTTATCTTTTTAAAGGCCACCTGGAAGTGGTGGCACTGCTTATTAACCATGGTGCCGAAGTCACATGCAAGGACAAGAAAGGTTACACCCCACTGCATGCTGCAGCCTCCAACGGACAAGTAAATGTGGTTAAACACCTCCTCAATCTAGGGGTGGAGGTAAGATGGACCATGGATGACTCATAGATGGATGACTGTGTTCATGTTTCATTGTTGTTGTTGTTGTTGTTGTTATAGCACTTACACAGCATATTTGCATTTTAATTCAGGGGTCAACATCTCATAGTCTTGTTTTCATTCTTCTTCAATTCAGTAGAAGGGCAAAAGATGGCCTTGCCAGGTAGTGAAAAATCAAAAAGATGCTGACCTTTACTATCCTGGGAGACACAGAGATGCTGAAACAGAAATCACATGCAGGGATGAAAGGATTTACCCTTAGGGTTCTAGCACTAGACATTTATCACTAGACAGGTCATCACAGGTCTCCCAGTCCAATTCATTCATGTGAGGAGGAAGAGGAAGCCAGAAAAGTGAAATGACTTGTCCCGGGTCACATAAGGAAGTGAGGGGCAGAACTGAGATTTGAACTTGGATCTTCTGAATCCAAGTCCAACCCTCATTATTAATGGGTATAAGACTAGAGGAATAGCATGCACTTGTGGATCCTTGAAATATGGTCAAATATTTAGGAGTTATATTTATAATTTAGGCTTGCAGTGACTGCTCGTCATTCTACTTTGACTAGGGTACCTGGAAGGAGTACTCATTTAATTAATAATCTTCTTGATTGTCACTCTTTCCTATGAGTTGAACATGGTTTGAATAAAATTACTGGGACCCTTCTCCTCTGGTCTTTTAAATCTTGGTTTCTAAGCATGAGAGAACACTAGAGGTTTTAGGATCATAGGATTTAGAGCTGAAAGGTACCTGAGAGATTATTTATCCAACTCTCATTATATAGATAAGGAAATTGAGGCGCAGAGATTAAATGACAGGTAGTATGAGGCAAGACTGGGATTTTAATCCAGAGCCTCTGCCTTCAAATCTAGTGCCCTTTCCCAACTATACCACAGTTTCTTTTGTTGAAATGAGAGAATGATAAGACTGGAGCCAGTCAGAGCACTTCCACCTACATCGTCTCCCACCCCTATGCTTCCTTAGCTCAGGAGAAGAGACAGGAGACCAGTATTATGAAAGCAGCAGGAAAGGTCTCTTAGCTTCCCTACTTCAGGCAGGGTTGTGGGCTATGTCTCTGCCCTCTGCTCCTAGATGAAGACTTGGCGTGAAATGATTCAGAATAACAGCTGAAAGCTGCTCTTGGACACCACTTTCTCTTTGAAGCCTTAGCTATCTTCCTATTGTGTTCCTCCTGTTCACTAAACACATTTCTTTATGCTCATTTCAACTCCACCCTTATTTTTACTATCACCTTTCTCTAGATTTTTCTTCTATTATATCACCATCCTCTCTTTTTAATACGTAACTTTGACTTAAAACCTTTGTTGCCATACAGGCTTTTGAAAATCCCCTCAAATAGGGGGCATGGTAAAAAGTGTTCCAGACTTGGAGTTCAAATTCCATCTCTGTTACTTATGCACCTGTCCGACTTTGGTCAAGTCATTTAACGTCTTTGGACCTCAGTTGCTTGATCTGTAAAATAAAAAGGGTTAAATTAGATAATCTTCCAGCCCTCAATCTTATAATTCTTCAATTCTTGAAATAATAACTCACACCTTTATAATAAGGACACATTTATATAGTGTTTTAAGGTTTATAAAGTTCTTTATTGTAAATAACTCTGTGGGGTGGGTACCATTTATATTATCCCCATTTCCAGATGAGTAAATAGTTCAGAGAGGTTAAGGAACTTACCCATGGTCACTCAGAGCTGCTAAGTGTGAAAGCTAGTCTGGAAGTGTCTTGATGTCAAGCCTAGTGCAGTTGCTATCACACTATCTCCTGTTCCTGAAAAATGTCCACTTCATGTTGCAGAAACTGTTAGTACTACATATTCATACATGGTAATGAGGTAATATAGTAAATAATATCTATGAAAAATGACCCCTTCCCATATGTTGGCAAGCTCCTTTTTTATCTCATTTGCTTTATTTTGATCTTTAATTTTATATTGTAAGCATTTCCAGGGTAGGGGCTGTATCTTTTCATCATAAATTTTATACCACCCCCAGTACGGTGTCAAGTGCTGAGTAGGTACTGAATAATATACATTGATTAATTGGAGTCACCTTCCTGTTGCTACCGAAATCCCATTATTCATTATGAAAGGGAGTAAATTGGCCTCAATAATTGTAATTGCCCCCTGTTGGTCTCATTTGCAGATTGATGAAATCAATGTCTATGGAAATACGGCACTTCACATCGCCTGTTATAATGGACAAGATGCTGTAGTCAATGAGCTGATTGATTATGGTGCCAATGTGAACCAGCCTAATACCAGTGGATTCACCCCTCTGCACTTTGCTGCTGCCTCTACTCACGGTGCTCTCTGTCTGGAACTGTTAGTGAACAATGGGGCAGATGTGAATGTCCAGGTGAGCTTCACCTCCCAGGAGAATATTTGGTAATTGGTAGCTATTGGTTTTTAGACTTTCTAGATGCTGCCCATCTATTCTGTGAGCCTTCCTAAATGCAAAATTGATTACTCTAAATACCATATTACTTAGATTGGGAGGTTTTGTGTTGATTTAAATAATAACTCTGAGCCTTAAAGTTTAAAATGTGACATTGTCTGGCACTGTCATGCTGAAGGTAAACTGATCTTGGTTGGGGGGGAGGGGTCTGTCTGTTGTTTTGTTGTTCTTGTTCATCCTTCTTCTTGAGGGTGATGTATTGACTGGAATGTGATTTGGATTTAAGTGAGAGAGAGCTTCCACCTTCAGTCTCTCCTCCAGAATCATCAAAGTCCTATGGTAAGACAAAAATCAAGCCTACTGGGCAATTGCCCCAGGATGCAGTTAGTGACCTTGGCCTTTTTAAATGAAGGTCCTTCCCAGATCTCAGTTTGTCTGTGACCACGCCCATTCAATGTCTGTGGGCTAGGTAAGAATTGAGAAAAGAGATGGACCAATTTACCATCACAAAAATATCAGTCTGGGAGGGGAAGGCCCTCATTCTAAGCCATCATAATGTAAACAATGTGCCACTTAAGGCTGTACTTCATTTCTGCCCAGTGTCTATTCTCAGTGTACCCTGAGTTTCTGGAATGTTGAATCAACCCAGAGTATGTCATTAAATTGAATACTGAGCTTACTTGACAGATAAGAGAATTAGAGTGATAAATTGGACTGCTATTGCTCTTTCAAGGGTCTCTGGACTAGACTGAGGCTGGATGCCCTCAAATACTTCAGGGGCCTCTCCCCCTCACTGAAGCTAACTCTACATTGGGTTTCAAAACCATAGCATCAGCCCACAGTGCCATCAAGTAGTATTGGTATTGAGTTTTTGCCTTGCCCCCACAATGCTTAGGGGTATGTGTGTGTGTGTGTATGTGTGTGTGTGTGTGTGTGTGTGTGCACTCACGCACCAGATTGTGATAGCATTCATTTCTTCATTATGTTGTGGCATCAGGGTGCTGGGAACCCCAAAATGCACGGGTACAAGGAATGGCTCTGCTTTGAAAGAATTAGACAACTCAAGCCTTCCAGTCCAAGTAGAGAGTTTATTTTTAACATCAGTACAAGTGGGCCAGACTCTTAGTGAGTTTGCACATTTGATATTTTTATAGGGAAAAAAGATCACAGAAAGATTTGGATGGGATTAAGGAGTGGCAAATAGCATAGGGTGGTCCGGAGGTAACTGAGAAAGAAGGTTTGGGCTGGGTTGGAGGTAACTAACAGAGAATGGAGGGTTGAGCTGGGTGAGGGAGGACATAATGAAAGGACAGTTGAAAGGATTATGCTGATACCTCAGGTGAATGCCAGCGATCTGGGTTCAGGGGCTGGGTTTCTGAAATTTGTGGGAAAGTTGAAAGGGGGGTGGGGGGAGTCCAAGATCCTGTGCCCCGATCATTACCATTTGTTTGTGAATCCTAAACTGTGGCAAAGATGCTGCATCTAAAATTCATTCTTGTGCTGGTTTAGGCTGTTTCCTTTACCCCACCCCATTAAGTGTTCCTTAAAGAGTGCTTATTTAATTTAGTTTAGTTTAATAATCCTCTTGATTTCCATTTTCTCTCATGAACTAACCATGATTTTAAATATGAGAGCTGTTATCTGGGGTCTGGATTTATCTTTATATGCTGTCATCATCATTGTTATTTTTATCTTTGAGAGCAGGGATTTTTTTTTTATTCTTTGTACTCCCCAGTGCCTGGTGTATAGAAGGTTTGTTGATTAATTACTTTCTTTACCAGACTTCTGATTTCATTATTATGGGAAGCTACTGAGGAATATGCTCAGCCAATGGAAATTAAAATCTTTTCTAAAACTTAGAACCCTATGAAGTTGCTGGAGGCACTGACATTAAATGACTTGCTCAAGGTCTCACAGTCAGTATGTATCAGAGGAGGAGGACTGAACGTAGGCCTTCCTGATTCTGAGGCCAATCTCTGTATATACTCCATTTTGCATCATGTATTATTTCAAGTAAACTTGTTTTTGAGCCAGTTTGGCCATTTTTCATTAGTGTCATTCCATGTCTGTGTTCCCTATCAACAGCTCAGACACTCAGGCCTCCTATCCCTATCCTATTTTAACTTTCAGGCCCTCATTTTAGCTCTTCTCTGTTGAAATACAGCCCAGAGAACTCATATAGTCTTCAAAAAGATTAGCATGTGCTATCAAGCTGCCAAATCCTGCTGGAATTTCCCAGGGTTATGGGTGGGAGAATCCTGGGAAATGTAGTTCATCTCCATCCATACTTTTGAGGTACACTGGAAAGCATTTAGCATTGGTGAAAGATGGAGCCAGATGGCTGATAAAAATTGGATGTAGGAGTTGAAATTTGAAACTGGGTCCAGTACCAGGTAGTTTTTTTTGGACTATTTTTTCAGAGTCATTGATCTTGAGTCCTTAGTGGATTGTTGTTTTGCCCAAAGCAAGGTGTCTGTGTTGAAAGTTATGTTGACTCAGTTATGCATTGTTCCCAACCCTGCCTATCAAAGAGTGTTTGGGGAGGCTCTGGTGGAGAAGGAGACACCAACTCTGCAGTTTTTGTATTACCTAGTCCTTTTCCCGTACCCCTACATGCAAATTGTCATGTTCTTGCTACCTTGGAGAGGAACTGAGATTCAAGGCCCAACCTTTTCCACTGAAGTGGACCTATTTGGATTGTCTTAAAGTTACCTATAAAAGCTGTCCCCACCTTGAAGCCCTTGCTGATCTTCGAAGATCAGCCCATCAGTGTGTTGCTACCTTGACATAATTATAATAAAATCCTTTTAATTCTCTTTGTCCTGAGTTTTGCCCTGTTAATCAGGGTGAAAGCCCAAATGAAGAATTTTCCTTTCTGGTTGCAGTGTTTACATGTACACTATAGTTATACCTCCTTCTCCTCAGTTGGGACAGAGTCTGTCAGGTGACCCAACTCTTATCCATATATTACCTGTTAGCATTGAAAGTTAGAAATGATCAGTTGAATGAGTCACAGCATTTAAATGATGATTGAGAAAAGGTAAGGATTGCAGTGTTGGTCATGTATCTTACAGTTCTTTTTGTCACCAATGTGGTATGGAATCTTGTCTCCTGAATCGTCAACATTTGATCATATTGTATTAGAAGAAGTGACTAGTTTCTAGTAACCCAATGTATGGTCTGATATAACTTACAAATAGAAGAAGCATAATAAATTTTAAAGTGGTTTTACTTCAATATCTTCCCTCTGACAATTCTGTAAAGAGTAAACCTCTCAGCCTGATATTTAAGGCCCTCTACAATATGGCTCCAATTTATCTTTCCAAGATTGCAACCTTCTACCTTTTACCTTCAAGATCTACCTTCTCTCTCTCTCTCTCTCTCTCTCTCTCTCTCTCTGTTATCCATGTCCTTCCATAAATGCTCCACAAGATGCAAGGTAGCCATCAGAAAACAGCTGTCCCTCCTTGTGCCGGCCGTGCCGTGCACTCTCCTCCTATAAGGAGCAGGCTGCCAAGGTCATACTTACCAGTCTTCGGTGCCCACCCGGATAAACACAGAGACGAGCCGATCAGGAGGTGCAAGTACTCGAGCTTTATTCAGAGGCCATCACAGCAAGGCCAAGCAGGAAGGCCAGAGCAAGAGAGCAGGAGCAAAAGAGAGCGAGCTCTGATCTCTACTGTTCCTTAAGTACCTACTTAGCCCCTCCTCTTCAGCCCGCCTACATTGATTGTAGGATCAGATACCGGAACGGGATGTCTGGGTTTAGCGCACCAAGGGAGAGGAAGTGGCGCAGGAGTCTAGGACCGGATACAGGAAGGAGACGTTTGGGGTTAGTGCATAGACAAAGGGAAAATACGTGACCCAGGAAGTCAGGCCCAGATACCGGGAGGAGGCGTCTGGGGTCAGTGCTACACAAAGGGAAAGTACATGACCCAGGAAGTCAGGAAGGAGACGTCTGGGGTTGACGTTGTACCTAGGGAGGGGACTAGACAAAGGGAACTCATTCTCTGCCGTCCCACTCCCACGTGGCACAGCCCCCTGCCTCAGGAGCACGTGCTCCAGCTACTTCCTTGTATCCTGTTCCTTCCCCAGCTTATCACAGCTCCACATAGCACTGCCCACTGCCTCAGGAGCGTGAGCTCCGGTTACTTCTCCGTATCCAGTTCCCATCCCAGTTCACCACAACTCCGCCTAGCACAGCCCCTGCCTCGGGAGCGTGAGCTCTGGTTATTTCCTAATATCTTGTTCCTACCCCATCTTGCCACAAACTTCACGTGGCAGTAGTCAACACCAGACAATCCCTCACACCTCCTGTTACCCCAACTAATGTTTTCTTTGAGCATATCCTAAGGGTCACCTGCTCGGGTTCAATGGTGTATAACATAAAGAGAAGACTGAAGTAATGGACATGAAATAAGCTTGGCATTGAAGATGGATACACCATCCCTATGACAGTTGGAAGTAATTTGTCCTAGCCACACGTGCCTCATCTTTTCTTCTTTTTCCTTCCTTTCATTCTGTCAGTGTTCATTAGTACCTTCACCAAAATCCAAACACTACAAGGCAAAAGAAGCAATGATAAAGGAGAGGAGATATTTACTGTCATTGAAGTAGGGCAGACTTTGTAAGCTATACGTCTTAGACTATAAATTGCACTATGACTTCAATTTATATAAATGCTGCTCAGTAAACAGTGGTGCCTTGGCTTATGGGATATCAGCCACATTAGGCACTTCTTCTAGAGATGAGATTTAAAATACATTCATACTGTTTGAATGTTCCTTTTGCATAAAAACAAACTCTTTATGCTATATTTTAAATTTAAAAGAAAATACCATTTAGAGCAAAATTTAGAGAAATAATGATGCCTAAGCATAAATTTGTGTCTTTGATGCTTATTTTTACCAATATTTCCTCAGAGGAAGCATGGTTTAGTGGAAAGATCTCTGAGCTTAGGGTCACAGGAGACCTGGATTCGAATCCTACCACTGACTCTTACTACCTGTATGACCTTTAGCACTTATGTGGTCATAAGAGCATAGACATAGAGCTGGAAGAGACCTTAGAGAGAATTAAATCCAGCCTCGTTTTATAGAAGACCAAACCACAGCCCAGAAAAATTAAAGGATTTGTTCAGGGTCACATGGATAGTAAATATTAAAGCCAGGATTAGAATTTAGATTCTACTGTCTCCAATCCCTTGCTTCCTACCATATCACACTGCTATGTGAACTTAAGTATTTTGAGAAATTTTTTCAGAAAACTTATCTGTTTTGAGGATTTCTAAGATTAGAATATGCTAAGGAAAAATCTACCAGTATTTCCAACTTTGCTTTAGTTTGTTCAGTTAATTTTCATAGGTTCCATTATAGTACCACCTTTAACATCAGTAATAATAATAATAATAATGATAATAATAATAGCTAGCACTTTTATAGCACTTTAAGGTTTGCAAAGCTCTTTACAAATAGTATCTCATTTTATTCTCACAACCCTGCAAAGTAGGTGATATTATTAACTTCATTTTACAGATGAGGAAACTGAGAGTAAGGTCACACAGCTACTATCTAAGGCAGGATTTGAACTCTCCTCTTCCTAACTTCAGATACATCACTCTATCCACTACATCTCTTAAGTCTTGCTTTGGAGCAAGCACCACTAAGACCTAAAAGAAATAGTAAGATGCAAAAGCCCTATGAAATCTCAGGAGAAAAGGTACCCTAATATTCAATGTGTTATTATTACAATAATCACTACTGTTACTACTACGATGAATAATGGGTCTGACTTGAAATTTAGGTACCATAAGGGAGTCTGAAGACCACCTAATCAATCCTATACCTGAACAACAATTCAATCTACAACATACCTAGCAAGTGATCCTCTAGCATTTGCCTGTAGTCCTGTAGTCGGAGGGAATCCCTTTACCTTCTGATCCTTCCATTTTTAGCCTTCTGTTATTGTTAGGAAGTTGTTTTTTTCACCAAGCCTAAATATGTTCCTTTGCAATTTCTCTTTATTGTACCTTGGCCCTCTGGGACCAATATTTTATTTGAAAGTTTTACTAAAGTTACTTGTTCATGACTAATTTACAAATTCTGTCCATAATCTGTGGTTTGGTCTCATCAGGTCAGAGTATTTCCCTTGACTGACTAGTTAAGAGATAGATGGCTATCATTTCTGAGTATTACATAAATTCAAACTCCATTACTGTGTAGCCTCAAAAAAGGTACACAGCTGCCAAATGGCTTTCATATGTTGATTCTGTGATTTCCAATGAGGCCAGCAAAATAAGGGCCTCTCATTTAAAACATTGAAAAAAAATACTGCTTTTCGGGAGTGTTGAATTTTATTAAATGGGAGTAGGTCCCAGGTCAGTTGTTAAATGTGACGATGATTTATGGCAAGTGAGTTAGCCTCTGTTCAGACAGGACCCCACAAGTAAACATATCATTTGTCTTTTTTTCCCCCATGTACTGTAGAATAGATGGTAAGCAAAAACTTGAAGGGTACCTTCTTCTTTAGGTCACTTTAGGAGATGTTTTGTGATAAGTAGCACCAACTAAAAGATTTGAAGTCAAATTGCAGATTCTGCCTTCATCTCCAACCTTGAGTAAATCATTTACTCCTCTGAAAGCTTTAGCTATAAAATGGGAAATGTTATGTTTCTGGCAGTCTAATAGGATAAGGTTTTAACAAAAGGCCAAGTATTTAATATTAAACAATTGCTTGGGAGTTCTCATAGAAAAATCTTTCTCCTTCATAATTATCTTTAGTCTCTTGTGACAAAGCATTTAATGTTAAGCTTTTGGATGAAATTGTGTGTGATATCATTTCCTCAGTTATATTGCTAGGGATGTTAGATGACACTGATTTATGAGCAAATTATCTTTTCTCTCCCTTTTTTAAAGAGTAAGGATGGAAAGAGTCCACTGCACATGACAGCTGTCCATGGAAGGTTCACACGATCACAAACCCTCATTCAGAATGGTAAGAGAAGATCTTCTGTGTCCCTCTTTCTGATTTTGGTTTCCAGTCATTTAAAAGTCAGAGGTGATCGTTGTGCTGGTATTTTGCTTTTCATTGTTTTTGAGGATTGTTTAAATGGCTATTGAAGGCTCCTTTCCAAAAATGTCAAGTTAATTAGTATAATTATGAATGTAATTATGAGAAACCTGAAGTTTCTGTTAAATTTCTTCTCTAAGGTAAAGAGGTCTAAGTGCTTTGAGATTGTAAAGCATGAACTTACATTCTCATGGCCCTCTACTGCCCACTTTAAAATAATAAAATTAAGTCATACACATTTATTGATAATGTTTAACTTATTTACAGACATTGGAATTAAACGTAGTCCTCTGCCCTTAATTTATGATAATCTTATTTAGGCAAACAAAGGGAGAAATTGTAAGAGATTCAGAGGAAGGCAAATCAGAAAATCCAGTAAATTTCTATGTAGTTTATCTCAGCAGTAACTCTCCTTTCCATGCCCATTATAGACAACATAGTTTAAGTCCTCATCTCATCTAGGTTATTTTAACAACTTCTTAACTGGTTTTCCTCATTCCAGTTTATTCCCTCTCCATTCTGTCTTCCGTGCTGGTGCTAGAGTAATCCTCCAAGTCCATCACCCTGACCATATCATTCCTAGACTCAAAGACCTTCAGTGGCTCCCCATTGTCTACTAAATAAAGTATAAACTGATACTAGCATTCAAATCCCTCCACAATCCGGCTCCTACCTAGAATTCTAGTCTTATCTCGTATTATTTCCCTTCACCCCAATTGAAACAGTCTGTCCTACTCTCTCCTGTATTCATAGCTTTGCTCGTGCTGCCCTCTATGCTTATGTCTGGAATGATCTCCCATTCTAGTTTTTGTTTCTCTTTTCTGTATATGTTATTTCTGTAATAAAGTTACATTTCATTTTTAGTGGAGTTTCAGAATTCAGTCTTCATTAATTCAAACATTTTCCTCCCCTTTGTTTCTTTTTTTCCTGAAAATAAGTCTAAAATAGTAAAGTTTTATTATAGTTATCATGAATATAGTTTCTAGAAATAAAATTTTTTAATCTGTAAATATATTTTGGCCCAACGAATACATATTAATGTCATTCTTCTTCTCTCCTTCAGCTGTTTCCAATATCTTTTTCTTTTATCTAGAACTCCTAGTATGGAAACTCCCTCTCCTACTACAGATCAGCAATTTATCTCTAACTTACAGTGTTAAAGAATTTCTTGAAACACAAGAGTTTGCGATTTGCCTTTGTGTGTCACAGAAGGAATTGAATGAACATCAATAAAAAAAAATAGGAAGGAGATATCTGTTAAATTTCTCACTTAACATACCATCTTGATTTTTTTTCTGATTATAAAATGGAACATTCATTTTCTTAGTTGCCTTAATAGCATTCCTTCCCTTATTCAAGTAAAAGCCAATTTGAATGAATGAATGGAAAAACTCTTAATTCAAAGTTGTAGTTAGTTAAGCTATTTTTGTCATGAATGTAAAACAATAACCAGGTTTTGTTGATTTCTTTTCATTTAATTATATTAAACCAAAATTACAAATCCTTGTCCATTCAGGAGTCAATTTGTAATTTAATTTATAAATATATCTATATTTATTTTTATATATTTATTAATTTATTGATTTATCAGTTTAGATATTTCACCTTGTAGTCACATTTGTAGTTTTACATATAACATAGTTATATATAATAAGTATATGTAATAGTAATTTTATTTACTACTATTAGTTCAATGAAGATACAGATTTTGTTTAGTATTGATGCTGTCTCCTATAATTGTATTTGTGTGCTGGAAGTCTCAGGGAATCACAGAGTTGTGGAGACATATGGGAGTTCAGGAAGAGCTGGACGGGGACCGACAGAAAGCAAGGGAGAGGGAAGTCTGAGATTGTAGATAGCAGGCAGCATCCATATATACATGCATAATTTCATTTACCTTTCTGGGCTCCAGTGTCCCAAATTGTTCTTTGTTCCCTTGTGCCCCACATTTAAAGAAACTATTAAAAAGTCTCTAAAAAAAGCCTCTCCCCCACCAAGATGTTATTTGTTAGCAGAGAGAACCCTGAGGCACTTGATATAGTTAAATAAAAAAAGTAAACAATGCTCTTTCTGTTCACCATCACAAGAGGTTGCCATTTAAACATAATTCAGATTTAATAAGTGATTTTGATGTCCTGCCAGGTTCATTAAAGTAGGATTTTGCTAAATCAGTTTCCAAGTTTCCTGTAGCTTTACCCTTATTTATAGTAGTAAATAGCTGGTCACCATAATTTGGATACAAACCTTTTCACATACTTTCAAATTATGAAGACTATAAAGCTCCTTATACTTTTCTAGGAAGCCCACCTCTTCTGATGTATTCTCATTATTCCTGTATTCCCTAGTCAGAATTATTTTTTTTTTGTGACTTGTGATTTTACATTCATAACTGGCCCATTTCCCTCCCTTTCCCCACCATGTACACACATACACATGTTGTTTCTCATATTCCTCTTAAATTGTGAATAGGGATATGGCAGTTAGACACCTAAAAGATCTTATTACCTTTTTTTTTTTTAACAACTATGACTCAGGTTAGCTTTTGTTGATGAACAGAATTTCTGAATCATGTTGCCTTATATTCCATTCTGATCTTTGGATATTTTTTCAACCAAATTTACATAAAGCTTTTCATTCTTGATCTTATGTTTTCTTCTTATGTTCCTCCATTTCTTTCTATTGTTGTGAGTATCCAGTAAGCCACTACATCATTCTCTCAGTTTGGCACTAGGTCTTCCTTTGGAATGATGCTAACATTTTAGCATCACTTGCACCCAGCCCCATCTCTTCCCTACAGCTATTTAATTGGCCCATCAGGTTTCCAAGTAGTGAAAATTAAGGGAAAGTACACTAGTAGGCCATTTGTTAGCTCCCATAATCCTATGATCATGCCATCTTGCAACACTCAACTGTAGTCCTTTTTCCTCACTATTGTCTAGCGTCTCTCAAGACCAGTTAGCTTAGAAGCTTTAAGATTAGCCCTAAGGATATGAGTTCAGATAGTCCTAGGAGGCTGTTCCAATAGGACCATCTCTAGACAACTGAAAAGTGGGTGAAATTTTTCTTTAATATCTCCAATCTTCTCTCTCATAATTAGTTCCTTTATCCTTTTCTATTACCACCCCCAAAATGAATTTTCAGCTGAGATGTTCTTCTTTCTATAAAAATCTGATTTACAAGAAAGGATTTAATGTTATTTAAGTCGATGTTCTTGCCCTCTGTGCAACAAAGGACCTTTTCCTCCTTAAAGAAATTTTAAGCATCAGTGAACAGGCCAGGAGGTGGAATACATTTTTGCCCTATGCAGGCCTTCATCTGCAGTGCTGATTTTAAGGTTCAGTTCAGATCTAGAGTTCCACCTTGAGACTAAGCCCTATCAGGCTAGGTGTGCTTAAGGATTTCCAGGCAGGTTGTTGGGTTCTAACTTCTTTTTAAAAATTCCCAGAAGATTCCAGGCTGGTGTAGCCTCTCCAAGAACCATCCCCAAAGGGATCAAAGTGAATCTCTTTTTCTGAGCATTCTCTACACTTCTTCGATTAATGTAAAATTATCTATCTAAATGTAAAATAGATGTCACTGCTGCTGTGCTGTCTTGAGGGGCCCTTGGTCCCACTCTGGCATGATCTGGCAACTGAAACTGATGTAGATGCCGTGACCAAAAGACACCTTTTACATACTATACTATCCTGTGAGAGACCTAGGCTTGGGTTATTAACCTTACTTTTGAAAAAAGATTAAATGAAATTTTATAATGGTTGCTGAACAGTCACCTGCATCTACAATGAAATTTGGACATATCTCTACTTGGCATTTAAAAATTACTGAGGAGAGACATTGTTTATCTTTTCTTTCCTTCCTGTTTTGGCTCCCTTCCAAGAAGACTACATATGTCAGTACCCCACACCGTCACCCTTTATGGGACCCAACTCTCCCCTGGTCCATCTGCAACTTGTACAAATCAGCACGGTTGGATCATTGTGAGGGATGGCAAATGGGTTTTCCTCACCATGGTCTGGATCCTACCCATTCCCATTCATAGGAACATCAGAAAAACTTGGCCAGAGAATACAGTCCTTTCTCCAAGCCCTGAAAGCCATTAAGTTACTTCATGCTGGCCAGTGATACATAAATTTAGGACAAAGTAGCCAGGCAACTACTGAACAGTGTCCTATTTCTCTCTTTTAATTTTACTGTGGCTATTGGACTGGTAAATAACCCTTTCCTGTTTCTTAGAGTAAATATTTTACTAGTTACTTTCATTAAAAACACCGATAAAGTAGTATTCCCTCTCAAATACTCTACATTCCAGCCAAAATGGTCTATGTGAAAATATCTGATGTTCTCACTGCTGGGCCTTTGGACAGGATGTCCCCCCATGTCCAGCATACTCTTCCTCTTCCTCTTCCCATCTTAGAACCCTTAGCTCACTTATATGTGATCAATTGGTTCTACCACTTATTACCTGTGTGACCATAGGCAAATCATCTAAATTCTCTGGGTTTCAGGTCCCTTATCCATTAAATGAAGGGAGGGACAATGGGCATCTGAGGTCCCATTGAGCCCCAGATCTGTAATTCTATGCAACAATGACTTTCACTGATACAGCACTTTAAGAGAGGCCGAGTGATAGTGGGGAAAACCATTGAGCTTTGGAGTCAGAAGACCTGGCTTCAAATCCTGTCTTGGACACTCTCTACCTATTTAATCTTTCCAAAGTCACGTTTCTCCTTGTTCTTCAGTTTCTTCATCTGTAAAATAAGGAGTTTGGACCAGAACAGGGGTGGGGAATCTGTGGCCTTGAGGCCGCATGTGGCCCTCTAGGTCCTCAAGTGTGGCCCTTTGACTGAATCCAAACTTCACAGAACAAATCCCCTTAATAAAAGGATCTGTTCTGTAGAACTTGGACTCATTCAAAGGGCCACACC